ATATCTGTCTGATGGGAGATCTTAATGGAATAATAAATAACAAATTGGATTATAAAACACAAAAAACAGCAAAGAAAACTAGAAAGACATTGCCAAAATCCTTCTTTCGAATGGTAGATGAGATAAACTTAAAAGATGCATGGAGAGAGAGAAATGCAGAAAATAAACAATATACCTTTTATTCAAATAGACATGCATCATGGTCTAGAATAGATATGGATGTCAACAGAATTGCTTTCTAACATACAAGACATTGAAATAAAAGCAAGTACTTGGGCAGATCACAATTCAATAACACTTGTATGGAAAGGACAAAAAAGGAGATCTAGATGGACTTTAAATAATACAATATTAAAGGAAAAAGACTTTAAACAGAAAATTGAGAGAGAATTGACTTTCTTCTTTAAAGAAAACACAAAAGAGGACACATCATTACAGAACCTCTGGGACATGATGAAGGCTTATACAAGAGGCTTGATAATGGACTACACAAGGAAAAGAAACATAAAATAAAGAAAAACTTTTAAAACATTGGAAATGACTACAAGAGGCTGGAAAAAGAGCTACAGAAATTTCCAAAAAGAAAGACATTAAAATTAAAATGGACATAACTAAACATAAAATGGGGCTAATGGGAAAAGAAGAAATAGCACAAAAAATTAGAAATGCTAAGCAGAACTATTTTGAAGATGCAAATAAACCAGGCAGATGGCTAGCATATAAATTGAGAAAGGAAAGAGACTCAAGAAGAATAAATTAATTGATAAATGAACAAGGACATGTATGCTATGGAAATGCAGAGAAGAAAAAATTATTCAAGATTACTATGGAAAACTGTACCATCAAGAGAATGTTCAGGAAGAAAGAATTCAACAATACTTACAGGAAGCAAATTTGCCCCAGATACCCAAAGATATTGAAATAATGTTAGAAAGTAATATAACAATGATGGAATTAACAGAAGCTTTAAAAAAGCAAAACATTGGGGAAGCACCAGATCCAGACGGTTTGCCAGTGGAATTTTATAAGACATTCCAGGAAACATTGAATCTTCACTTATTAGAAATTATGAATGAAGTTATGACAAAGAAGAGAATACCCGAAACATGGTCAGAAGCATATATAACACTTGTACCGAAGGAGGACACAGACCCACAGCAAGTTAAAAATTACAGACCTATATCACTATTAAATTCAGATTATAAAATTTTTGCTTCAATTCTGGCAGAAAGACTGAAAAGATATTTAAACAATTTTATTCATCCTGATCAAAATGGATTTCTGCCGAAGAGACAGATTAAAGATAATATGAGAATAATTTTAGATACACTGGAATACTATGAGGCACATCCTGAAAAACAAATGGCTCTGATGTTTATAGATGCACAAAAAGCCTTTGATAATGTGAATTGGCGTTTTATGCTGTTACAATTGGACCAAATGGGCTTTGGTAAAAATTTTACTCAAGCCATCGAAACGATATATCATAAACAAACTGCAAAGGTTATGATAAATGGAGAGTTAACAGACTTTATAGATATAAGAAAAGGGACTAGACAAGGCTGTCCACTGTCGCCTCTGTTGTTTGTGTTAACACTGGAAGTGCTGAATAGGAACATCAGAGAAGAAAAAGAAATAAAAGGAATGAAAATTAAAAAAGAAGAGTATAAATTACAAGCTTTTGCAGATGACCTTGTATTTATATTAGAGGATCCATTGGTCTGCACGTAAACTGATAGAAAAGATAGAAGAATATGGGAAAGTAGCAGGTTTGAAAATAAATAAAGATAAAACAAAGATTTTAGCAAAGAGCATGTTAGTAAGACGAAAGAAAGAATTGGAGGAAGTTTTGGGGTTCCAGGTCACAAATAAGGTTAAATATTTAAATATTAACACCAAGATGTAGCACACTTAAGGAGGACAATTATCTCAAACTTAAACAACATATTGCGATAGACTTGATAAAATGGGAAATTTTACAATTATCACTGATTGGGAGAATTTCTACAATTAAGATGAATGTATTGCCCAGAATCTTATACTTATTCCAGACAATTCCAATCAGATTAGGGAAAGAATTTTTTGAAGATTTAAACAAAATAGTGCTAAAATACATTTGGCAGGGGAAGAAAGCGAGAATAAAACTTAAATTGTTACAAGATGCAAGAATAAGAGGAGGATTTGCTTTGCCAATTGGGAATTATACTACCAAGCGACAAGTCTGATGTGGGTAAAGGAGTGGATAACACTAAGGAATACTAGACTTTTGAATTTAGAAGGACATGACTTGCTGTTAGGGTGGCATGCCTTCCTCTGGTATAAGGGAACTAAAACGCAGGGGTATTTTAGAAGACACTATATTCGAGAAGCATTGTTTCTAAACTGGGAGAAGATAAAAAGCAATATTATTTAAAAATTCCACTATGGTTATCTAATATTGAAGCTTTTTCCTATACAATAATATATAAAAAGGAACAAACAGTTAGATATGGTGAGATATTGAATGAAAAGGGTGAACTTAAATCTATGCAAGCATTGGAAGAACAAGGTGTAAAAATGAATAGGTTTTCATATTTGCAAATACAATCTAGATTTGATAAAGATGTTAAAACAGAAGGTATCTATGACAAGTTGACTGATTTAGATAAAATTTTGGCAGGTACTGATGAAATCAGTAATCAAAAAACTTTATGGACATTTGCTACAGGAAGAACAAGTAAAAGAAACAATGATTGCATGGGGGGGGGGAATTTTGGATATGGGATTGACTTATATAAATGGCAAAAATTGTGGTCTCAAAATTATAAAATGACAATGTCAACTGGGTATAAAGAAAATTTGTATAAGATGTTTTACAGGTGCCACTTACCCCCAACGAGAATTGCCAGGATGTTCAAGGATAAATCAGATAAATGTTGGAAATGTCATCAGATACTTGGTTCATATACCACATGTGGTGGACATGCTCAGATGCAAAAAGATATTGGACTATAATCCACACATGGTTGGAAAAAATAACAAAACAACACATAGACTTTAAACCTGAGATATTTTTATTGGTAATTATACCGGAAATATATTGTAAAGAATTGAAATATTTGATTGTAAATGTTTTAACAGCGGCTAGAATTGTATTTGCTAAGAACTGGAAAAATGAAAAAATACCTATGCAGGAAAAAATTATTAAGAAAATCATGGACTGTGCCGAAATGAGTAAATTGACATTTGAAATTAGAGAACAAGAAGATAAACAATTTTTTATGATATGGGATTTATTTTATCATTGGTTAGGTAAAAAGACATGGTAAAGAAATAGACTACTAAGCCTTACAATAAAAGTTAATAGATTGATATAGAATACAATATAAAATATATAACCATTGGATGAATGTATAAGATTAAATCATAATGAAAATTAGAATATCTCATATAAAATGATGAAAAAATAGTCAAATGAACATTTAATAATTGATATTATATAAGCACAAGCTAGACTGATAAGGTGAGAATTTATATAACTTGTGAGTAATGGTAAAAAAAGGATAGCACAAAAGATTGTAACCAACTGACACACTGTATGTATATAATTGAAAGATGGTTTTATGTTTTTATGTTTTGTTCGTATATTTGTTATAAAAAATAAAAACTTTGTTTTAAAAAAAAAGATTATCAGAATCTTTGGATTTATTTCTTGGCCCTAATATCTATACTTTTGTGGAGTTGGAAAATATTTTGGGTTATTTGTTTACTCCAGAGGAAAGAGTTCAGATAAGGAAGGCTGCAATGGCATATTGGGATAAAACCCAGATAGGGATGCAGAACCCCCCTGCAACTGAAACCAAGTTTTCTTTGCTTGATCCTGGTTGGGATAATAATAATCCTGAACATAGAGTACAGATGGAAGATCTTAAGAGAATTATTGTTCAAGGTGTACGAACAGCAGTTCCACAAGGACACAATCTGGTTAAGGCTTTTGAAGTACGCCAGTTGAAGGATGAGCTGCCGGCTGAGTTTTTGAATAGAATCAAGGAGAGTTTGAATAAGTATTCTGGTCTTGCTCCAGAGACACCATATGATTCTTTGATGAAAGTACAGTTTGTGATAAAGGCATGGCCGGATGTTAAACGTAAACTACATAAGCTAGATAGCTGGGCTGATGTTGACATCTCCATTTTATTGCATGAGTCCTAGAAAGTTTTTGTAAATAGGGACCAGTGCCAAAAATAGACAGAAAAGCCAGATGATGGTTTCTGCTTTTAAGACAGTTACAGAGCCTGAAACTGTGATGACCCAGAGTATCTCAGAAATATAACAAAACCCAAAATGTAACTAAAAGTCCTTTAATGCCTTCAACTTGCCTTCACTGTTTAATTGTTCACAGTGGAGGAGTAAACTATCTTCAAAATAACATTTCGAAGGCAAGAAACACAGTTCACATTCAAAGAGCTGATAACGAAGCAAAAACCAAAAACAAACCACATTGAATAAAGTTCCTCGACAGACCAGGATAGATAATTGCCAACTTCAGGAAGATAACCAAAGACTTCCTCCATTGGAAGAACGCCAACCAAGATAAACCTTCTTTAGAAATAAAACACTAATTTGTCTCCAGCGTCTGTTAGTACACAGGTCCAAACTCTTATGCAAATCTCACACCATGAAGAGGATCACAGCCTTCTCCTCCCGAGTAGACCACATTTTACCCTGATCCTCTCCTCCCAAGTAGACCACATTTTACCCTGATCCTCTCCTCCCGAGTAGACCATGTTTTACCCTGATCCTCTCCTTCCTGCGTGCCCTAGGATGGATAAGGGATGGGCCTGGGTCCTCCTCTGACTGCTCAGAGTCAGTCTCCACCAGGGGCATCACAGAAACTAAAATGGAAGGAGCTGGTAGAGGGAGAGGTAGAAGGGTTGGAGCACCATCTACTGGAGATAGATGGAAGCGTCCTGGACATGGTAGAGAGTTTCTTCCTTGGAACAAAAATAGGGTGATTGGAGGAAGCAAAAAGTGTTTTGCTTGTGGCAAGGATGGGGATTTTATTAGAAATTGCCCGTACAAGCTGAGAACCCAGAGCAGAGATTGTATGCCCTTAATGGAAGATTAGGAGGATCGAGGGCTCTTGATTCTCAGATCCCACCAAGAGCCCTTGGTAAACCTGAAAGTGGGACCAGAAGAATTGTGTTTTCTTAATAGATACTGGTGCAGCTAGAATTTCATTGTGTAGATTACTTAAAGGTGTTATACAGATAGGGAAAACTTTAATGATATCTGGTGTAAAGGGAGAACCATTTAATGTTTCTGTTGTAGAGAATATGTATTTAAAAGGACAATGTGAAATAAAACTGGATGTTTTATTGATACCAGAAGCAGGTATACATTTGTTGGGTAGAGATGCTTTATCCTTATTGGGATGTGAGCTTACTTTCACAGGAGACAGGTGTACTGTTAATTTGTTAACTGAGGAACAGGAAAGATTTATAAATCCTATAGTTTGGGAAGCTAAAGGTAATAGAGATGTTTTGAATATTGCACCTTTGGAGGTGATTTTGAAAGAGGGAGTTGAGCCAGTAAAACAGAAGCAGTATAATATCTCCTTGGTAGGAAGATGTGGTTTGAAGCAGATTATAGAGTCCTTATTACCGGATGAGCTAATTGAATCTGCAATGTCACAATATAATACACCTATTTTACCTGTAAAGAAACCTGATAGTTCCTTTCATCTGGTGACAAATCTGAGACAGATCAATAAGTTGGTTGTGGAAAGGCATATTATAGTACCAGACCCTTACACATTGTTAGGGAGAAATCCTCATGATCACAAGTATTTTAGTATGATAGATTTGAAGGATGCTTTCTGGACTTGCCCATTAGCAGAGGGATCAAGGTATATCTTTGCTTTTGATTGGACAGATCCAGATATACATCATACTCAACTGTACAGATGGTGTGTTTTACCACATGGTTTTTCGGAAAACCCGAATTTATTTGGACAAGCATTAGAACAGGTCCTGGAAAGTTTTGAACCACCTGTGGGTATAACGGTGTTACAATATGTGGATGATTTGTTGGTTTCAGGTGAAAAGAAAAAAGATGTTGAAAAAGGCACAAATAAGTTGTTGAATTTCTTAAGGCAACAGGGCCTGAGAGTTTCAAGAAAGAAATTGCAATATGTGGAACCAGAGATTAAATACTTAGGACATTTGATTAGTCATGGAAGTAAGATCAATCCAGAAAGGATTGAGGGGATAGTTAAACAACCCCTACTGAAGAATAAGAAGGAGGTTCCGAAATTGTTAGGATTGTTAGGATATTGTCGTTTATGGATAGATTGTTATACGGAAAAGGTTAAGTTTCTATATGAGAAGTTATTGGATGATGAACCTTGGGAGGTTGTCTGGAGTGATGATGATGCCAAAGGAATAGAGATGCTTAAGAAAGCATTGATACAGGGTGACGTAAGGATGAAGAGAGGTGTTGGAGTCCATTCTCAGTTCTTCATCCCCTCTATTTATTGCTGGTGCAATCCTTTGGGGTGCACAAATCCCATAGAGAAGTGTGTCGGAGTGGGGATACTCGAGGTGCGGCGCAGGGGTAGGTGACCCTCTCTGCACTAAAGAGAAACCCTTTAGAGCCCAGCAATCAAGAGGCTGTCATTCATTAATGGCGGCCCCGAAGTCAGACAGCCAACTGTAGGAGGAAGTGAGTGAGTGACAGATTGTGGCAGATACCAGAGAAGAGATTGTGCAAGTGAGATTGCGACTGTTATAGAGCGCGAAAGAAGACTCATAGATAATAGCTGAGAGGTCGATCGGAGCCCCGAGAAAGCGGCGAGGAAGCGGAGGCGAGATCGAATGGAAAGTGACAGGGGCACAAGAGACTTCCAGGAGAGGACGGGGATTGCAACGAGTGAACTAAGAAGATCTAGAAGGCTAGAGATGATTAATTACATGCTAATTTCAAAAAGTTTTAATACTCAGAGGTGAGACGGCAGAATAGACTGCTTTCATCTTGTAAAAACTGACTCAAAAAATGTCTGAGATGAGAGGAGTAGCGGAAGTAGTGGATTTATTTGAGACAATGAAAAGCCATAGACATTACTCAGCAACTTTTTGGAGGTTAAGTGTAAGAACCCTCTCTGAGAGAATGAATTAAGGACGGACTACTGAACAATCTCTTTAATACTTTTCCCCCTTTTTCTTTTCCTTTTTCTTGCTTTTTTCCCTTTTGCCATTCTCTTTTTCTAGCTTTCCACTTTATAGGCTGATTAGAAATTAAGGCAGTTTGGAGATGAGTATGTAATATTGTATTAACTGAAGTATAAAATGTGTATTTTTGGATAAGAGAAGTGAATAAGCTTAGTAAGTCTATTTAATTATAAATTTGGAACAAGAAATTTGATTATAAGGGCTGATAATTGTTAATTGCAATTGTGATTTAATCTAGTTTATTTAGTTGCTACATCTATCTATCTATCTATCTATCTATCTATCTATCTATCTATCTATTCTTAAGTTTTCACGGGTATTTATATGTATGGTATTCAGCTTTGTTCGGGTATTTTCCCAGCTCAAACACACCCCAACCAGGCACCCAGATGAAACCAATAAACATAGACCAAGACTCCGAACCAATCAGGATGAAGAAAAAACCATTCTGGCACAGCGTAGGCTAGCACCAAATTTAAAACAGGCCTCGGAGTAGGTTGGTTAACTTGGTTTGGTAGTCAGATGTGTTCATAACCACTGTCGCGTTGCCCTTGTCTGCTGGTAGGATTATTATGCTGGTGTCTTCTTTCAGGTTAAGTAGTACAGTTTGTTTTTCTTTGGGTAAGTTGCTTTTGGGTGGTTTGCTGGTGCAGAGGATGTTCGTGATTTCGAGTCTGATTCTGTTAGCATCATCAGGGTTGGTTTTGGTCAGCCTGGTTTCAACTCCGCATATAATGGTTTCTGTGGGGATGTGTGATTCAACTTTGCTGTCGCTCCCAAACACATCCCCACAGAAACCATTATATGCTGACTACCAAACCAAGTTAACCAACCTACTCCGAGACCCCACATACAAACCCCTAAACACAGACCCCACCACCTACCTAGAAAAAAACCACCAGATCCAAAATAAAAGCCTCCCCCATCAGCGAAGAAATCCAGCAAAGAATCATACCCAGAGAGAAATCATCCAGATGCCCTAAGCTCTATGGCCTCCCCAAGATACACAAAGAAGGAATACCACTCAGACCCATAGTCAGCTCCATAGGCTCACCTCTACAAAACCTAGCCAAATTTCTCGCCAAACAACTACAGCCCTATGCAGAATCCATCAACTCACACATACGAAACTCATTACAGTTCATCGAGATCATAAAGAAACAAAACTTACAACCCAGCGACCTACTAGTGAGCTTCGATGTCATATCCCTCTTCACCCAAGTGCCTATAAAAGAAGCCTTGACAGCCATCCAAAACAAATACAACCCCGCCAAGCATATCCTAGATCTGACCAACCACTGCCCATCCAATACATACTTCATCTACAACGGACAAAAATACAAACAAATAGAAGGAGCACCCATGGGATCACCCCTCTCACCTGTCATCGCAAACCTCTACATGGAACACTTTGAAACACAAGCTCTAGAAAAATATGATCACAAACCCAAACTCTGGCTCAGATACGTAGATGACACCTTCATAATCTGGCCACACGGGAAAAAAAAACTGAACAACTTCCTCACACACCTCAACAGCCTACACCCCAAAATACAATTCACCATGGAAACAGAAGCTAACAATCAACTTCCCTTCCTAGATGTCTTAGTATACAAAAAATCCAATGGCTCCCTAGGACACACCATCTACCAGAAGAAAACGCATACAAACCGCTATCTACATGCACTCTCACACCACCACCCAGCAAAGATCAATTCCGTAGCTGAGACACTCATCTCCAGAACAAAATGCTTAGCCGACGAACAACACCTAAAAACCGAACTACACACTCTCACTAACGTACTAACAGCCAATGGATTCCAAAGAAAGAAGATTACCCACCTAATCCAAAAAGAAACCCCAACCAAAATCCAAGACAGAGAACAAGAGAATGGCAAAGCCCTCCTCCCATATATAAAAGGCACTACAGACAAAATCAGCAAGATCCTCCAAAAACACAACATTAA